TCTGTCACCTGAGCTAGAGTACCATGGCATTATTCTAGCTCATGCCAACCTCAAGCTCCTGGGCTTAAGCAATCCTCCTGCCTCAGCCTCACGGGTAGGTGGGATTACAGGCGCACGCCGTGACGCCTGGCTAATTTTTCTATTTTTAGTAGAGACAGTGGTCTCATTCTTGCTCAGGCTAGTCTTGAACTCCTGACTTCAAGTGATCCTCCTGCCTAGCCTCCCAGAGTGCTGTCCTTTTATTTTAGAGTTGTAAGAGTTCTTTATATATTCTGGATATCAGTCTCTTATCAGATATATGATTTTCAGATGCATTCTTTCATTCTGTGGGTTGTCTTTTCACTTTCTCAATGGTGCCACTTGAAGCACAAAATTTTGATGAAATCCAATTTATTTATTTTTTCTTTTGTTCCTTGTGCTTTTGTGTCATATCTAAGAATCCTTTGCCATATCCAAGATCATGAAAATTTATCCTATGCTTTCTTCTAAGAGTTTTATAGTTTTATCCTTACATTTAAGTCTTTGATTCATTTGACTTAATTTTTATATATGGTGTGAGGTAAGGGTCCAATATCGTTTCATTGCCTATGACTATCCAGTTGCCCCAACACCGTTTGTTGAAATGATCCCTACTGAATGATCTTGGCACATTTTTTGAAAATCAATTGACCATTGAAGTGTGGTTTATTTCCAGACTCTCAATTCTATTCCATTGATCTATACATCTGTCATTGTGCCAGCAGCACACTGTTTTGATTACCATTGCTTTATAGTAAGTTTTGAAATTGGGAATTGTGAGCCCTCCTACTTTGTTCTTCTTTTTCAAGATTATTTTGGCTATTATGGGTCCCTTGCAATTCCACATACACCCAAATTTTTTAAGGCCTTCTTTCACTTGGTGCCTTTTGCTTTGCATTAATATGGCCACAGAAATATTTACATTCTGGATCTTAGTAAAGATCATGAGATTGCCCTCTCTGGAGATAAGGTAAACTAAAACCACCAAATATAGTTGAACAATAGCCCAAAGCCACAACATCTGACACTGGTCACATAGACCCAAGCCCAACCACCAAACCTGCTGGCCCTTTAAAAAGCTCTGTATTTCTGCTTAAAGGCAGGATGATGATCTTTTGATACACTAGTTTTCTGCCCTCCTCATTTGCCAGCAAATTAATAAACTTCTCTCCCCTTTTCCTCAAACCACTTGTTCTTGTTCTTTGTTCTCACTGATTTGGCCTCGGGGACAAGTACCGAAACTTTCAGTAACACTCTAACAAATTATTAATAAAAAGACAGACAACCAATTAAAAAATTGGCAAAAGACTTGAAGAGGCTTTTCAGAAAAGTGGATATCCAAATGACCAATAAACATATGAAAGGGTGCTTAATTTCATTAGCAGGGAACTACAACTTAAAAACACAGTGAATTGGTATTATATCCTTACCAGAATGGCTGACATAAAAATTATAAAAATAATAATGCTAAGTGTTAGAGAGAATGTAGAAAAATGGGAACTTTCATATATTGCT